ATTAGCTAGGAATGACCATTGACAATCTCACATCTGATGTGTGTATGTCTGCCTTGCGTACAACAAACAGGCGCTGCGTGCCGAGTTTGTGGGCGAGCTGATTAAGCCCGACAAGATGGCGGTGCTCATCCAGTCGTCATACGGCAACTATGTCGTCCAGAAGGTCAATCATGAGTGTACCCAGGACACGATCGAGTGGCTAGGTGTGGTGCACATGTGTCTGTCTGTGTGCTCCACAGGCCCTTGAGTTGTCTGACCCCGAGCAGGCCAAGGCCATCCAGAAGGCCATCAACAAGAACCTCAAGACACTCCAGAACCACAGGCTCCGCACCAAATGGGAACGGATCATGCACAGCGTACGCGCCACACACACAGACATCCGCACCCATCCACCCACACATCACATCTCCCTGTGTGTCGGCAGGCCTACAAGTACATTGGCGAGGCGAGTCCCTCCGTACTGAGCAACAGCCACCAGGACGACCCCCACATCCAGCAGCAGCAGCAGCAGCTTCGCATGGGCCCCATGGGAGCACCATCCATGGGCATGGGAGGGGGCATGCCCCACCACCCCGTCCCTCCACCAGCCATGGCCTTCTTCCCGCCGCCTGCTGCTCCTGCTCCTGCTGGTGCTCCTGGTGGTGGTGGTGCTGGTGGTGGTGGCGGTGCTCCCATGAATCCCCAGCCGATGGACCACCAGGAGACCTACCCCAACACGAGCCTCGCCACCCCCACATACGCCCCCACCCCAACCCCGTCCCCGCCCACACCTGCCAGCCTGCAGGTGCACCCCATGGCACTAGCCGGCCCTGGGCCCCCACACAATCAGCAGCACCATCACCCCACCAGCAGGCCCCCGTTCGTGCACCCGCCCCCACCCTCATCCAGTGGCCCTTCTGGCGCCCAGGTGGCACCTGGCCCCCCGCAGCCTGACATGGCCAATCCCAGCCCCCAGCAGCATCAACAGGGGTACCCTCCCTCGTTCTCTATCGCACAGGGACAGCAGGACGGACAGAGGCGGTTTCTCTACGGCCAGTCGGCCAACTTCTATGTGCCCAATGGGCCACCCGCACCCCCCTTCGTGCTGAGTGCGATAAACGTCAGGGGGCCGGGTGGTGTGATGCCCTATGGTGGCCGGCAGGGTAGCTATGGAGCGGCCTACATGCACACGGCAGGCCAGGGGGCGGGGGAAGGAGGCCCACAGCACCAGCAGCAGCAGCAGCAGCAGCAAGGGGGTGGCGGTTCATCGTCGTCTGGTGGTGGTCCGCTGATGTCGCCCGAGCAGTATCAGGTGTACTACAACCAGCAGATGCAGCAGATACAGCAGATGCACCAGCCCATGCAGGTAGGTAGGGTACGGACACGCCCCCCCCCCCCCCCC